AAGAGCTCATGGAATTATTAGCAGACTGCGCACTAAATCCTGATTATGGTTATGTTTTAAATTTATTTAAACAGTTTCGTAGTAATTGTCTTGGTGAAAAGAATGGTATACATATGTTTCAACGGCTTAAAGAAGAAGTCGATTCATATAATAGTTCAGGAAAAGGTCATGCGATTTATCAGGAATATGACTTTTAGTCAAAAAAAGCTTTATTTTTTGTGTTGTCACCAATTTAATAGTTCGCGTTTATGAAAAAGTCCAACAATCTGGAGAAATCTGTTATGTAGACGCTTCAGCATCATTTGAACTATTGAATATATCAGTTACTTTATTCTATACAAGCTGTATTGCAAATGTATTGCCTCTCGGTATTCTTGTAACATCAGATAAGCTAGAAACGACCCTTAAAAGGGGAATGAATATGCTAAAATCGCTTTTTCCACAACATGCATTTTTTGGCTGCTAGCCTAATACTGGATCAGTAACTTTTCTTACAGATGATTCAATTTCTGAACGTAATGCGCTAAAACATTGCTGGCCACAGTCCAAACAATTATTATGTGTATTTCATGTGCTTCAAGTGTTTTGGCCTGGTTGTATAATTCAAAACATAATATAAATAAGGCTCATAAAATGCCTATAATGAATCTTATGAAAAGTATATTATATGCTTCAATGGAAGTTGAAATGATAAAAAGTTACAATGAATTAAAAACCAACTATTATTATATATATCCACAACTACAAAGACACTTCGAGTTACTTTGGAATAGATGACAATTCTGGGCTGTATATTTTCGCTCTGGGCTTCTTATATGGAGAAATAATACTAATAACTACATAGAGCGTAGTTTCAGATTGCTGAAAGACATTATATTTGCATGTACCAAGGCATACAATAGTGTTCAAATGTTTCAATTTATTGTCACAAGTATAGAACACTATTATGAATGTCGATTACTTGGAATAGCATACTGAATCCTGGTCATATTCAGATTGCTAAAAGGTTCCTATGTCCCAGTTGGGAGGCGATTGATGCAGCAAACATTCGACAAACAGAAATAAGTATGGAGTATTTGGTTCCAAGCAAAAAAAAAGGCACTGATCTATTTTATACTGTTAATACAGAATTATGTAAATGTACATGTTTTGTTGGGCTATCTGGAGCACCATGTAAACATCAGGGTGCAGTAGCCGCTAAATATCATGTTGAGTCTCTAAATTTTTTTCTGTCTTTAATGCCTAATGATTGTACTCACTTTGCATATATTGTATGTGGTAAGTAGATTGTTTAATTGTTTTAAGTTCTTGGAAAATTCTAAATAATATTTAATAATTATTATAAGAAATGATTGCAAATGACTCTTTCTACGCCTCGTTACGTACACACGCAAATAATTACCAATATAGACAATCAAATAAAATCCAAATAGTTGCTACAAGTGATAGTAGTGTGGATCAAATTTTAGCAATTGATATGAACGTGGATAAGATTGTACCTGACATAGATACAAACCATATTTCGGCAACTAATATGAATTTGAATGAGGTTGTATCTGACGTGGATACAAACCAAATTGCAGCAACAGAAGTGTAAGTATACAGCATTTATTTATTATAAGGAAGTTTTTTTTGAGCATTACACACATGTCTTAAGCGCGATTATTATAATTTAAATAATGCACTATAAATATAAATGTTATCAATCTTTAAATTATCTAAATTTTTTTTTTGCATTTAATAAAGATATAATTTCAAATTCGTTGAAATATTTCTTAGAACGGTCAAGAATGATTATGAAACTTGTGGCCCACAACTTAGATCTGCTCTCGAAAAGTTTGCTGAGAGATACAATTCAGCAAAAACTAGATCTATCCTGGTGTTGGTATCCTTTTTTATAATATAGGTTATGATGCAGACCCACTTGTACAGGTAAAGAGTAGTGCCAAAATCCATGTGCAAGTAGAATCAGTAAAGCATAGGAAAATGGAATCTGGTGCAAAAAAATCAAATAATAAAGAAAATGATCCACATGTTATTCTAGCACGAAAGGTCCGAGCAATTAGTAAAAAGAAACATAGTCTTAGTCAAAATATTAGCAGAAACAATTTAAATTAGAATTAACATGTTTTTTAGCCTTTCTTTTTTTTTTTTTTTAATTTTATGCTGTAGCGATAGTTTTTTTTTTTTCTTTTTAACAAAAATGATGATGATGTAGATGCTATAGATACAACTTATTCATAAAAGAATTTGGTTCAATATTCTTAGCTACATGGTTAGATAGTAAATCAATTTGGCGCCAAATGTGAATATATACATGATTCAAAGTTTTTTTTTTAAAAAAAAGTAAGTATGTAGTTTTGCTTAAATTAATATCACTTATATAACTTACATATATTTATTATTATTATAAGAATCATTTGTAATCAGATAATAGGTATATTGCTATACATAACTTTGGGCACTTTAAATTTTTATTCAATGTTAAATGATAACTAGCGATAACTAGGGATAATTAAAAGTATAATTTTTTTAAAGTATAGTTATTAATTCAATAAACTAAAGCCCTAACTATTGTTTTTATTTGATATTACGAAGTTTATATATTCAAAATTATCATATTCACACTTTTAATCGATTATTTAATATTCTT